GGCCATAATAGTGTAAATAACGTTTGTTTTGGTAGTTATAACTGAATGTAATGTTTTCTACTTGTTTACATCTGGGAAGGCATTTGCCTTCATCAGATGGAAAGTGTCTTGACCAACAACTTAAGTGTTTCTTATAGCTATGCAGGGCGTGCAAGCGAGCAAACACAAACAAGAACAAACAAACAAGTGAAATGAAGAATACAATTGAAATTGTACAATACAATATTGTGGTGGTTCATCTTATAATTCAGTCTAGAGAACCAGACAGCATAGACCTGCAAACATCTAAATGTTCTAGGTGAGGCCCCCCAAACCCTTCGTGCGTCATTTCGTCCGCGCGCATTTTTCAGGGCAATCTCTACTGGGCTCAGGGCCATCTGTACATTAGCTTAGATGGCCCACAGGGCCATCTCCCAAAATCCTTAATGTCATGCACTGCTCACGGACCACCAGTGGTCCGCGGACCACACTTTGAGAAGCACTGACATAGATGATAGATGCTTAAGTTAACTATGTATGACATTTGTATCAAAATTGTATGTATGTACATCACTATGTATGTACTGTATAATGTACACATGTACAGTTGTAGAAAAGACATGGTGTACAGACAGTACAGTCACTACAGTGTATACTGTATAGTAGGTGTGTAACAGTGTAATGCGTATAGTCTACTCTACACTCTACCTTTCAGCAAAGTTTTAGGGATTTAGGCTCAGTCAGCTCAGGGACTGTTTGGTTACTCTAGTTTGGTAAATGTTTGAACTGTGTAGTAGTTGCTGTAGTTGCTGTCATAAGTCATTTGTAGACTAAGTGGCAAAAAGTGTTTTTTTTACATTTGTACTTTGTAGAGAAATGTAGACACAAGTTGGAAGGGAGCACAATAAACCTGACGAGTTTGAATTTGAGTTCATTATGAGTTCATTTTCAATTGATAATTAGCTCACAATAAGTTCACTTTAGTTACTCACACAACTTGACACAAGCCATGGTTCAGGTCCGGACTTATAAGTCCGGACCTGAACCTGAACCTCTGGACTTGAGTCCGGACCTGAACCTGAATGTGAGTCCAGGTACGCAGCACTATACAGCACCAACTTGCAACTAATCTATATCTACTGTCACTTTGCACTTTGAACATGTGCTCTTTTATTAAATAAACTAAACGCTTTCATTTTAAGTTGTGAGTTTAGTGTTTTTGACCCTAAGAAACACTGATGCATTAATCAATAACAATAATCCACAGCTCCTCTCTCTGCTCCTTAGGATTTAAAAAATATATATATCCCAATGCCCCCCCCCCCCAAAGCAGTAAACCTACTGTAGGGGCAACACTGGACGGCCTCATGTATTTAAGCATCTTAATCTCATTGTTCATTTTGCTACGTACCTGTGTTGCAGAGAGTGACCTCCAGCTGAGTGAATCCGGCAGTGAGAGTGACTGAACGACTTGAGGACGTGTTTGGACATCAGTAGGATCTTCAGTGAGGAGTGAAGGAACAGGGAACAGACCTGTCAGTGTCTTACTCCCTTTAATACGGGACTCTGTCCTTGACATATTCACATTTCTGCTAGCAAATATCCTTTGTTGCTTCGCCGCCAACAAACTTCTATTTTTATGTCACATTTTTTGCTTTGTGATCTTTTTTTTCTGGTGTGAAAACTGTATGTTACAAGGATGCCTTATTTCAGAGTGGCATGATGGGATTGGTGTAAGAGAAGCAGTCAATGATAACAAACCATCACACCAAGTGTTTCATCTCACTGGGTGCACATTGAGCATATCCGAGGCAGAAAGACAGCGGTGATTACAGTATGTCGTGCAGATGGATGTCCCCATCACTCGGTCCCTAACCACCTCTGGAGTTCCTGCATTTCAGCTTAGCAATATTAGGATAGTTTGTCGTGCCTTAGGTCAGATTTCTGTAGATAGCTTCAGTTCAGCTGCTTTCGTTTCTGATGGGAAACATTCATCCGTGACAGCTGATAGTAATAGCTGATAGCTGGCAGTCGGAGAGCGCAGACCTCTGACCAGGCCAAAAATAAAAATCATGCCAGTAGCTTTTCTGTAATAATGCTAACAAAACAAACCGAACTGAAAACATCAGACATATAAATGGAGGTAGTAATTATTTTTTCTCAGGATGAACCACAGCGATATTTATCTTCTACTTTTGTTGTGACGTTACATGTAGAGCTTTTTTCTTTGTAAACCCAGCTGCAGGACAAGAAACTATTTAAATGTGAAGCTAGAAACATTTAAATAATTGCATATTGACATTTCTACTATCTACCTAGAAAGTTGTAGCTAACTGTTTCTTCATTACACACTCTGAAGTCATCATTGATCATCCATGCGTAGCGTTGTGAACAAACTGAAGAGTTTTGGTCCGATATGTATTCTACTAAAGCTGTGTTGATCTTTACCAGCCCCTGAGGAATATATCTGGCTCTTTAGCCATTAGACACTCCCAACATGTCCCACAGCTATTTGCTAAAAGTGTCCGTCTTCTGTTTGACACTTTACCGTTTATTTAAAGTAATGTCGGCATATCACAGCTGCCTCTTTTGACTTAGAACAAGGTCGATAAGAGCGGAGTTTGTCCAGAAAACCAAAACGATCAGCTGAAACACGCTAAAATGCTCGCTATTGCTTCAGGTACGGTAATAATTAATATGGATCATTGCAGCTTTAAGAAGTAAGATGTCTTGAAACCTTGATTGCTGTGATATCTCGGTTTATAAGTAGTTTTGATTTCTTGCGAAGTAGTGCGCTTAGTTGACTCAGTGAGGGTCATGCTTTGTAGCTTTAAACCTGCAATACTTGAATCTAATTATTTATATTTTCAAAATATACTCGAACATCAGCAAATTGCTTAATATATTTTCTATATATATATCAAAAGCCAAGCAATTGGAAGTTAGTATGAACTGTATTGCGCAAAACAAGCCAGATGCTTTGACGCTGCACCTCAATGCGAGTCTTTAAGAACTTGGTGTGCCTTTTTGTTATTTTCCTTTATAACGTAGGCCTTCTTCTTGTTTTGCCACAAGCCCCATTTCCCTGCTGCGCCCCGACTCAGCGTACAGGAAGTTGCTGTCTATGTCTCAGCCTTTATTTTACCCAGCTGAATGATAAGTGTTGAAGATGTCTTAAAATGTTTCAGCCTTAAGGAGAACGGTGGCCTCAGAGAATCATTTGTAAACTATTTGAGAGTAATTTCTTTTTAGAAAAATAAAGATTTTAATAGTTTTTGTGCTTTTGCATTGCCCAATATGTATATTTTTTATTTTTGTGCAACCATGTGTGGATTTTATTGTGATTACATAACATTTTTCTGATCGTAGTGACCCTGAGGTTACGCCCGGTTACTGCAGGATATCCTGGACGTAAGCTTCCTTCCTTTTTTTAATTTCATTTAGTTCCCATCAAGGGGGAAATTAAGTGCTTTGATTAGGTTCATAGTTGGCACAAGCTTTTTTTCTTTGTTGGATCAGAATAGAGAAACAATAGAACAGTCATTTTCTATTCAACATTAGTACAACAACTGCGTTACATTTGTGAAGCTTATAATGATTTTGTCGATGCCAAAAAAGCAAGGTGTTATTTCAACACATTTTGTGAATGCCAATAACAGTTTAACCAATGAAGTCATCCATTAAACTTTTAACTAGGCATCTAAAAAAAACACGCTGTTGTTCATATCACATTTATAGGCCAGAACTTGTGACGACATGTTGACAGTCTTGTTTGAGAGTCACAAGCAAAAACAGTTGTCAGGTGTTACCATGTGCCATGTAAGCTAATAGATAGGTGTGCGTATATACTATTAATTGTAATTATACGAGGTCAGCCGGTTACAACCTGAAGTCTTTGTTACGAACCGAGTCAAATAACTGTCGTTGCAATTTAAAAACACAAGTAGAAATGCAGTGCACTGAAAATAGCTGATAAACAAATGTTATGTCACACACACACACACACACACACACACACACACACACACACAGCTCTACACTGCAAGATTGATCCAAGTACACAATTTACTTGACACATGAATACTAATTAACTAACCACAAAAAAAGTATTGAAATCAAATTCTGAAGGCATATTGTACAGATTGATCCCATCTGAAAGCAAAGTAGAAGTCGCCCTCTGGTGGCAGCAACATCCGTGAATGCAGCACAAATACACGAAATGCATAATAAATATTCCATTTTAATGTATAGTTTTTGAGAACCCATACACTATTATACAATACATATCGCTGTCATGTGTTAGGATGTGTGTAATCATACTGAATTGATCAGTTTTCCAAAAGGCACTTTAATACATTGCACATATAATAATAATAGATTTATTTTGTTTGCGCTTTTACAGGTGCTCAAAGACGCTTTACAGATAGGCTATAGTGAAAAGAAATAACTCTTAATAACTCAATAAATACCTTTACCTACATATTGAGCTCAGCAAGGTCTAAATTATTTAGTGAGTATCTAGTTTTTGACAACCCATTGAGTTTAAGTGACCCAATACAATATTCACACACAATAAACAAGACAAGAGGCATGGTGCACAAAAAGCAGTGGAAAAGAAAAAACTACTGGATCGATTGTCATGAAACTTATTGGAAGTATGTAGCATGTTCAGAGGAAGAACCCATAGAAAATTGGATCCGATCCCAATTACTGGGCAGACACACGTCATGTTTTATTGTATTAATATTGCGTATACGCTCTTCAGGTGCCCGTGTTTTACACCTAAATGTTATTATATACGTTAAACCTCCTAAAAATGTTAAATATCGCTACTCCGATGTGTTTTTTTAGTAATCAATCTTCTCTTATAAGTACATAATCCGCTTATTGGTTTTGGATGTGCATGTTACAAACATGGAGATTTATGATAGGGTAACAAAGTCCACAGTTGGCTCAGAGCCTGGGTTTAAAAAGCGGCCTGCAGCTATAAACAGGGAGCCATTATTATCTGACACACACACACACACACACACACGCACACACACCAACACACACACTGCTGTCGTGCCTGCTTCTACCTCAGAAGCTGCAGGAAAAACACACCTGCAGTGAAAATGTTGAGGAAATCTCTGGTGAGCCTCGGACTGCGGGTGAACAGGCAGCAGCACGCCGGGATTCAGACGGCTAAAGCCGGCCTGAATGCGGGGAATCATGCAGGCATCCACCGCCGTGACGCAGCCACCACCACCACCGTGATAAATGACTCCGTGAAACAGAAAACCATGGATGATTTAGGCGGACCGAGTTTGATGTCCACTTTAAACTGGCTTTTCGTAAAGGGCTATTTCAAAAAGGCGCAACAAATGCAGGTACGTGGAGGGATTCTGTGGATAAAAGGACTGCTGTGTTGTTGTTCGGTTTCGACCTGTCCGACCATATTATTTATTTAAACTTAATGTATGGAGAGACTGTCTTCGATTGCATCACAAGTTAAAATGACCGTAAAGCCTTAGTAAATGAGTAGTTAACACAAAGTAAATACAATCCATTAGTGTACTTATTTACCTCTTTTGGCAGGTCTCTGTGCAGGCAAACTGTTATGAAGTTGTGTCTGTGTGTCTGCTGTGGTTTTGCATATAATATGCACTCTCTCTGAACCCAGTGCTGAAGGGAAATGTAGGCTACTCAATTGTATTTGTGTTGCTGGCAGCATTGACAAATGAAATGTTAAATCAAGGTCACACTCACAAATATTATAACAATGTTGTAATGCCAACATTGCAGAAAAAACTTCACATTTAAAGACATTACCTTGGCATCAGAATCTGCAATGCTTTTGTACCTATTGTCCTGACATTTGTTTTACATAACACATAAAATACATTTATGAAAACTAGTATACTAATACAAGGCTTTACCTTACACGTTTAATTGCTGAACCTGTTTTTCCACAGAAGAAATGTGCATCTGTACTCCTAGGTAATATACTATTAACCTCTGTCATAGTGTAAAGAGAAAGCACCTGCACCACCATATGCATAACATCATGTTAAAAATGCAGAGTCCCTGTAATATCAAACATCATAGTATTACTTTTGTGCAATCCGAACACATTTATTAAAAAAGGATTCTTAAGGTAAACAAATAAATAGAAAGTTAACTCATTAAAAACCTAAAGTGTGTTTGAGAATCAATTCGAGTATAACAAAACTCAAGTTCATATTTCCTTAGACCCTAAGTAAGTTGATGTGTTGAACATATGAGTTCCACTGCGGAAATAACAAATGGATCCGTCCTGCAGGAGGCAGCTCAATATGTGAGGTTCTTTGGTAAATCACACATCCAATATCTCCATACTGCCCACAGATTGAGCACAGGAAGATCTACGGCCCTCTGTGGAAGTCAACGTTCGGGCCTCTGGTCGTAGTGAACGTGGCGACCGCTGAGCTGATCGAGCAGGTCCTGAGGCAGGAGGGGAGGCACCCGGTCCGCACAGACATGCCCCACTGGAGGAGATACAGGGAGGTCAGGAACCATGCTTACGGACCCCTGACTGAGTGAGTAAACCCCCCATACCAACTATGTGCAATATATGCCGTTAATTACAATATATATCTGGCTGCTATATCATTACAGATGTGTATTTTTTAATCTTTAATATTTTTTTTATGCATGCTTCTTAGTAAACATTAAACTGTTTTTGGCTCTTTCTGCTGTAACAAATGTAAAAATCCCCTCTGTGGGACGGATAAAGGTATTCTGATTCTGATAGATCCTCTAGCTTGATTTATTTGATCCCGTCCACAGTAAATTCCATAGTAGTTGTAAAACAGTCTTCAGAATAAACTCCTATAAGGACTCCTCAGTCAGAGTGAGATTCATTGTTTTGCAATTCCCTCTGTGTTATTTACAGCTCATTAAAAAAAAAACACCTGGGGAATTTGACTCGTAATTTCTGAAGATACCCGAATGAATTTGCTAACTTAAAGCCTCAAAAGGGAGGATGTGGCTCAGTGGAACATTGCGCTCATCTTCAGACCAGGGGAGGACAAGTTCGAGTCCCACTGCAGTCAGCATGTCATTGTGTCCCTGGGAAAAACACTTCACCCCACAGTATTGAGGGGTTTGCTCACAGTAATGAATGAATGTAAGTCGCCATGGAAGCATCTACCAAGTGACATTTAATGTAATGTTAAAAGCAGAACAAAACATACTGTCCAATGTTATAGATACTTATTTAAAATAGGATGTCATTTATATAAGTCCTATCTAAGTATAATTCCTCGGAAACTACTGTATTAGTTGCTTTGTATCATAAGGCTCCAGTCAGACCCTGTCAGGAGGACAATTGTTGTTTTTGATTGTCTAATAGCAGCTTTTCTTCGCTGTTATCAGGTTTTTCTTGTAGTTTTTCTTGTCAGACCTGTTGAGGCAGCGCTCGTCATCGTCAGTTAATTTTGTTACAACAGAGAAAAGCCTGAACTCTAAACCCTAAAACCTCCTGAATTACTCCAGCTGTTGCAAACATGTTTCATCCATTAGGTTCACAAGTGAGAGTTGTTTAACCAAATGTGGTCTTTGGCTCTTTCAAGACTATTGGACAGTACGTTTAGTGGAGTATAGATGCAAGTAAGGAGTCATATTCAACTACACTGGGTTAATGGTAATGAAGCAATCTGTCAACACTCAATGATGTGTTTTTAATAGTGTTTTGATGGAGAGGATTGCAATGACTCAGGCTTTGAATACACTTTCATATTTTAGTGTATATTTTTACAAAATACGAAATGTTTAAGGCTTGAGGCTACACGTTTTCATTTGATAGGTTGTCACTAGCAAGGACCTATCATTGTTTATTTATTATTTTTCATATGTGTATTTTGGGTTGAATAAGTTGAAAAATACCAAAATAAAGTAAACTTCACAAGGCAAATTTAACAAGTTTTCTTTATATTTCAAACAAAGTTCCAAAGGGCTTTCACATTTAAACAGAAGAGCTTAAACACACACAGTGAACACAATGTACCAAATACCAGCAACACATCATTAAACAAAGAGAGTTTGACAAGGTAATATAACATCAATAAAATTTGAACAAACAATTAAAAGTAAATAGGGTTTTTTTAAATGTGTTAAAGGACCACAATCCCATGTTACAGAACAATACATTTGAGTTTGACGAACGTTTATTAAACCACTTTATCTAATTTTGTTTCTATCATATTCTGTTTCTATTATATTCTATTTTATTTACTTGCACTATCGTCTGTTTTATTGTGTTGCACTGTTGGAGGAGCCTGTGACCTAAGATTTTCATTGTCATAACTACACTGTAGCTATTGTACACATGACAATAAAAGCCTTGAAACGTGAAACCTTGAAGCCCATTTTCTTGTATTAATCTTCCTTGTTTTTTGGTAGAATGGGGGCCAATTGGCAGCGCATCCGCAGCATCCTGAACCCTCGGATGTTGAAGCCCAAACACGTCTCCTCCTACACGAACACCGTCAACGACGTGGTGACGGACTTCATCCACAGAGTGGCCTGGCTCAGGGATACAAACGGAGGCGGAGTGATGGTCAACGACCTGACGGAGGAACTCTACAAATTTGCTTTTGAAGGTCAGTAGTGAACAATTCAGCTGTGGAAAGTCAACAGAAAACATCTGGATTAGCAATAGAGAGGTTATTAGAGGGAAAGAAATGCAGTTAGAAGAAGTTACTGGTGAAATACATCTTACATGAATGAAAGAAGATCAACTGTGTTATAGTTCAACACAAGTTTAATGGATAATTACATTTAAAGTGTTCTGCAGGATGTCTTCCTTCTGTTAATCTAAAGTGAATCAATGATATAATCTAAAAAGTACTAGACATAACTAGAAGCAACATACCACACACATACAGAGCTGAAAGAAGAACTTAGATCCTTTACTTTGTGTAAAATAAGTAGTTGGTTCATTTGATCCTCTGCTAGTAGAATTAAGAAGTATAATTAGCTAAATGTACATGAAGTAAATACTTGTGACCCTTTTCACAGTATTTTATTATTATATAATGATATTGTATCCTGTTTTAATTACTGAGACATCATGTAAGAGCCTGTTAATGTTGCACTTTTTCAAAATGGATTTCTTGTGTTTCAATACGCAAAAGTAACTCATAATAAATATAAGTTTTGAATAATTGTAGTGGAGTAAAAACAAAATATATGTCCCTGAAATGTAGTGGACTAGAATTAAAATACCATAAAATGGAAATACTCAAGTACGATTGTGTCAAAACAGTACTATTAGCAAGTATTGTAGGCTACTTTTAAATGTAGGTAATATGATTAAGAAGTCGGGACCTTAATTTGACCTTGGTGGGAGAATTTCCCAGATGCTTTACGAAAACTTACAAATATAAGTACCCTAAAATACTCAAGTGCAAGCCCTAAATTCAGAATGTAACTTAAATACAATTATTAATTGTGCAGAATGAGGAGCAAACTTTAGATATTACTTGTTCATACTTGCAAAATAACGATTACAACCACACTTCTTTATTCTTGCAGAGCAGAGAATTAGTCATCCATTAATACATCACTGTGTCATTTGTGTGCTGTCAGTCAGTCAGGGCGTAAACTCTGACACAGTTGTTGGGTGTTTTGGCCTTGACTCCTGATTAGATACTACGTTTATTTACACAGAGAAATAAGTTTGACATTTTTAGGAACATGCTTATTTCATTTTCTTCAGATAACTCAAGGGTAAGAATGATACAGCTCTAGTGTCTTTGTGCTAAATATGAAGCTACACAGCCACCAGCTGGTTAGCTTAGCTTAATTTAGCTCAGCCTTAAGACTGGAAACAGGCTGAAAAAGCAAGTCTGGCTTTATTTGGTTTAATATGTATAATAACAAAGTGAAAAAAATATGAATGTATGGTTTTAGAGAGGTTTACAACTTACAAAGCCAAGCTAGCTGTTTCCCTCCGTGTACAGTCTTTTTGCTAAGCTAAGCGCTAAGCTAACTAGCCGTAGATTCGTAACTGGCAGCCTTGACAGTGGTATTGTTTTTTAAATCAAACTCTGAGAAAGAAAGCAGATAAACATTCCCTAATATGTCAATATATTCCTTTAAACAGCAGCTTTCTTATAAAATTATGGATTAACTTTCTATATCATGCTTCTACGGCAACAGGGCTGTAAGACATGTAAGTTCTTGGTCCCCTCCTCTTCTCCCTGTACACAAACTCGCTCGGATCAGTCATTAGCCCGCATGGTTTTTCATACCACTGCTACACTGACGACACCCAATTAATTCTGTCCTTTCCCCGCTCAGAGACCCAGGTCGTCGCACGCATCTCTGCTTGTCTAGCTAACATCTCTCAGTGGATGTCTGCTCACCACCTCAAGCTCAACCTTGACAAGACTGAGCTGCTCTTCCTTTCGGGAAAAGATTGTCCCACTCTTGACCTAACAATCAACATCGGCACCTCAGTTGTTTCCCCGACTCAGACTGCAAGGAATCTGGGTGTGATCCTAGATAACAACCTGTCCTTCACTGCAAACATCGCTGCTACAACCCGTTGCTGCAGATACACGCTTTACAACATCAGGAAGATACGTCCCCAGCTGACTCAGAAAGCGACTCAGGTTCTGGTCCAGGCTCTCGTCATCTCACGCCTAGACTACTGCAACTCCCTCCTGGCTGGTCTACCTGCATGTGCCATCCGACCTCTGCAGCTCATCCAGAATGCAGCGGCTCGTCTGGTCTTCAACCTTCCTAAATTCTCCCACACCACTCCGCTCCTCCGCTCCCTTCACTGGCTTCCGGTAACTGCTAGAATCCACTTCAAGACATTGGTACTTGCGTACCATGCTGCGAATGGATCTGGCCCTTCGTACATCCAGAACATGGTTAAACCGTACACCCCAGCACGTGCACTACGCTCTGCATCAACCAAACGACTCGCTGCGCCCTCGCTGCGAGGGGGACCCAAGTTCCCATCGGCGAAAACACGTGGGTTTGCTGTCCTGGCTCCAAGATGGTGGAATGAGCTCCCCATTGACATCAGGACGGCAGATAGCTTACACACCTTCCGGCGCAAACTGAAAACTCATCTCTTTCGACTCCACTTCGAGCGTTAGAACTATTAACGAAGCACTTTTGTACTAATAAAGGACTGGATTACCTAAAGCCAGTTGAGTAGCACTTGAAATGTTTGGCTCTATGAAACCTGATATACTTATATGATTCTGTTTTCTTCAAGTTTGTATTTTGTTGGTCGAACGCACTAATTGTAAGTCGCTTTGGATAAAAGCGTCAGCTAAATGCAATGTAATGTAATGTAAAAGAATAACACAATGAAGACAATAATATTGCAGCAGCAAACGATTATATGTTATAAGGCTGTGTCCTGTTTTAACTTTGTAATGCCACATAGCCAGGGGCTATTTGTTTAAATAACCAGTATAGTGTGAAATAATTGAACACAACCCCATCAAACAAATGTGGTAACAAATGGATCATAATAATATCACCCAAAATCTCCCTAAATCAATGTTTCACTTTGTGAATTGTTATTTATTGGCCAAGGTGTAAGATGTGTACACTTTGCTTAACTAAACCACCACTTTGTAGCCAGGATAGCAAACAGACGAGTTATAATATTTGTTGTATATCTTTTTAAACGCAGGTATCTGTTCAGTGTTGTTTGAGACTCGTATGGGCTGCTTGAACGAGGAGGTGCCGGAGGAAACACAGAAGTTCATCGTCTCCGTGGGTGAAATGTTTCGTCTCTCCAACATCATCATCCTCTTCCCAAAGAGAATCTGGCCCTACATCCCCTTCTGGAAACAGTTTGCAGCCGCCTGGGATCACCTCTTCAAAATCTGTGAGGAAATATAACCTGTTTTAGGCCGTTTGTTACAGAACAATTTGTTTTGTTTATTCAATATCAGAATCAGAACTAGAACATCCTTGATTCTTGTTTTGTTTTTTTAAATATATGTTATCTCTAATGGTTTCTACTATTCAAGGATGTTTCCTAATCCTGTTAAAATGTAAACTAATGCTTACCTGGGACTGTAGGACATTTCCAAAACAACATGAGATTGACAATGACATATTACTCACGTGAAACAAAGTAGCCTATGTAAGTTAATAACATGTCCTCTCTTGCTTTGAGGAATTTCAAGTATTACAATATGAACCCTTTGCTGTTTGTGTGCAGCTCTTTCTCTGCCAATCCTCCTCACTGATTGTTATCACAGAAAAAGGGTTACTAAAGCTCAGGCTTCATGGTCATTTGCATTATCAAATCATTTCAAGGACACTAGACTGGTGATACTCTCAAAGTCACAAAGTCCACCTCACAGCTCACAAGGCCCTTTTTCCTTCTGTGTTGAAACAGAAACCAGAAACAATGGTGCCATTCTGCACAAAATGCAGTATTCTTCTTTATAATGTGGTGTTGTTACAATCATTGACATAAAAACCTGAAACAATGAAGAGTTTACATAATATATATACTTATAAATGACATATTGTGTTGTTATTTTTAAAGAATACTTATCGTTACTTTTTAAATTGAATATCCTGCCTGTTTTCTTTAAGGACTAAATACATTTCAATTGAAAAATGAGAGCTATTTCAATGTTAGGCAATGACAGTCTCAGGCTGCTCCAACATTGCAACATATAAAAATAATATTAACATGAAAAAATAGTATATTACACAAATGTTGTTGCAGGAACATATTTATTTCCGATGACAAATGTTAAACTTGTTTCTCTCTCAGCGGAGGAGATGGTGCAGAAGAAGATGGCGCAGATCCAGCAGCAGGTGCACCTGAAGCAGCAGGTGGAGGGAGCGTACCTCACACACCTGCTGCTCAGCGACCAGATGACCGTCACAGAGATCCTGGGCAGCATCACCGAGCTGCTGCTGGCAGGAGTCGACACAGTGAGTACAGACAGTGTGTGTGTGTGTGTGTGTGTGGTGTGTGTGTGTGTGTGTGTGTGTGTGTGTGTGTGTGTGTGTGTGTGTGTGTGTGTGTGTGTGTGTGTGTGTGTGTGTTGTGTGTGTGTGTGTGTGTGTGTGTGTGTGTGTGTGTGTGTGTGTGTGTGTGTGTGTGTGTGTGTGTGTGTGTGTTGTGTGTGTGGTGTGTGTGTGTGTGTGTGTGTATGTGTGTGTTGTGTGTGTGTGATGTGTGTGTGTGTGTGTGTGTGTGTGTGTGTGTGTGTGTGTGTGTGTGTGTGTGTGTGTGTGTGTGTGTGTGTGTGTGTGTGTGTGTGTGTGTGTGTGTGTGTGTGTGTGTGTGATGTGTGTGTGTGTGTGTGTGTGTGTGTGTGTGTGTGTGTGTGTGTGTGTGTGTGTGTGTGTGTGGGTGTGTGTGTGTGTGATGTGTGTGTGTGTGTGGTGTGTGTGTGTGTGTGTGTGTGGTGTGTGTGTGTGTGTGTGGTGTGTTGAGGGCCTTATTGTATAGTATAATTTGTTTTGCATTACGTTTTCTCGTTGGCTTAAATTATGACTTAATTAGTGGTGTGAATCTTCTCTCTCTCAAATAATAATTAAATTTTTTGTATTCTTCAAATCTCAGGGACTTTAACCTGTTAAACCCGAAGGTCCCCGCCGGCGGGACCCTGGGTCTTTTTTTCACGATACTGTGTCTCAGGGGATCTTAATATTTAAGAACCTATTAATGTGTTATACCAGATTAACGGAAATAATCTCAGCTAACTGCCGATACAAACCATGTTTACCAAAACAAAACACAAGTTTCACAATAAGCATCTAAATGACCCCTGAGCGAAAAATGCTAACGGACATTGGCACAGAACTCAAGATAAAAGTACCCTTATTACTTATCATAGCTGCACATACAATATATCCGATTAAAGCTGAGACTCCATAGATTATGTAGGTATATAGTATCATCACTGAGTGATCCGGACTCGCGACAGGGGAATCAAATACAGTCATCACAACACGTACCTTTACGAAGCTTCTAGGGAGATCGTCTCACAAGTAGCTGTCAATCTGAGCAAAGTACATGTTCAATGGCATTAAAATGAGAAAAAACGCGGCTGAATCTGTTAATCCATAGGTTCTTAACGTCCATGTATAAAAAACTGATTGAATTTATAATCCATAATTCCATTTTTATGTAAAAATCGGAGCGTAAATGCTAGCTGCTAATGGTAGCCACCACAGCTAGCTGCTGCTTCCGGTCTCGGCGATGCAGCAGTCTCACACATACACATGACCAAATAAGGACTATGTGGGAGTTCCCCTCGATTCCATTGGCTCTGACTATCAGAAAGAGATGTCACATGTCAAAATCGAGCAAGGGGGGCCAGAGATATGGAAAATCCACCCAAATGGCCCCAGAAGAGGTTTTTTTTGCTAAATCTGTCTAAAAAGGTCAAATATCACTTGTTTTGCATCAATCTTGATACAGGGTACTTATTATATGTTGTACTTTGGATTCCTAAAGCTTTTAGTCTACTAACCCATCATCCAAGGTTAGTTGTCACTATAAGTACAACATATTTTTTGGACGGACACTATAATTTACAGTTTTTTACCATGTTCAATCTGAATTTTCTTTAAAATAAAAAACATCTATATTGAATCTGACTTTTCTACATCCAACTCACAGGTTTATCATTACTTTGAGAAAAAAGATTATTAATTTAACCCTTTTAGAAGGGAAGATATGGTCATTTGTTCTGGGAATGTCATTTTCGAGCCTGAAACCTGAAAAACAGGCTCGGGGTTCAACAGGTTAAGGTAAGGCAAGGCAAGTTTATTTATATAGCACCTTTCAACACAAGGCAATTCAAGGTGCTTTACAAAAATGAAAGACATTCAGACAAAGGCATTTAAAAAAAAAAGATAATAAAAGAAACATTAAAAGAAAAAATTCATGAATAAAAAGTTACAGTGCAGTTTAAGATATGAATAGTTCACACATAAGTTCCACTTTACTGATGAACACAACGGCTCAGTTTCAATTAAAAGCAGCGACAAAAAGAAAAGTCTTTAGTCTGGATTTAAAAGTAGTAAGAGTTGCAGCGGACCTGCAGGTTTCTGGGAGTTTGTTCCAGATATTTGGAGCATAATAACTGAACGCTGCTTCTCCGTGTTTAGTTCTGACTCTGGGGACAGAAAGCTGACCAGTCCCTGAAGACCTGAGAGATCTGGATGGTTCATAATTTAGCAGGAGGTCAGAAATGTATTTTGGGCCTAAACCATTCAAAGCTTTATAAACCCGCAGTAGTATTTTGAAATCTATTCTTTGACACACAGGAAGCCAGTGTAAAGACTTCAGAACAGGAGTGATGTGATCCACTTTCTTAGTGTTAGTGAGGACTCGAGCAGCGGCATTCTGAATCAGCTGCAGCTTTCTAATAGATTTTTTAGTGAGACCTGTAAAGACACCATTACAGTAGTCGAGTCTACTGAAGATAAAAGCATGGACAAGTTTTTCCAAATCCTGCTGTGACATTAGTCTTTTAATCCTAGATATATTCTTTAGGTGATAGTAGGCTGATTTAGTAACTCTTTTAATGTGACTGTTGAAACTCAGGTCAGAGTCCATGACTACACCTAGATTTCTGGCTTTATCTGTTGTTTTGAACATTGTACACTGAAGCTCAGCGCTAACTTTTATACGTTCTGCCTTGACTCCAAAAACCATTACCTCAGTTTTGTCTTTGTTTAATTGGAGAAAGTTCTGACACATCCAGTCATTGATTTGTTCAATGCACTTACTCAGTGTTTTTAACTGGAGAATAGTCTCCTGGTGAAATGGTTATGTAAATGTGTGTGTCATCCGCATAGCTATGGTAACTTATTTTGTTGTTTTTCATTATCTGAGTCAGTGGTAGCATGTAGATGTTAAAGAGAAGAGGCCCCAAGATGGAGCCTTGAGGAACCCCACATGTCATATTTGTCAACTCAGATTTGTATTTACCTATAGAAACAAAGTTGTTTCTGTCCTTTAAGTAGGATTCAAACCAATTTAGAACTGTTTCCGAAAGTCCCACCCAGTTTTCCAGTCGGTCTAGTAATATGCTGTGGTCAACAGTGTCAAATGCAGCACTGAGATCTAATAATACTAACACTGAAGTTCTGCCACTGTCTGTGTTTAGGTGGATGTCATAGAAGACCGTTACAAGAGCAATCTCAGTGCTGTGGTTTGGGCGAAATCCTGACTGGAACACATCCAAACAGTTATTTAAATGCAAGAAATTACTCAGTTGTTGAAAAACTACTTTTTCAATGATTTTACCTAGAAATGGGAGGTTTGATATGGGCCTGTAATTGTTCATTACTGAAGCGTCTAGATTATGCTTTTTTAAGAGCGGTTTAATGACTGCAGTTTTCAGGGCCTGTGGAAAAACACCTGAGTAAAGAGACTTGTTTACTATATGAAGTAGATCTGAAGCCATGCAAGGCAAAACATCTTTGAAAAACCCTGTTGGAATAATATCAAGGGCAGCAAGAGGAGGATTTTCAGAAGTTGTATAATGTCCTCTAGGTTTTTATCATTAATCTGATGGAATTGTGTCATGCTATCCATCCATCCATTCTCCCGCTTATCCGTGGTCGGTTCGCGGGGGTAGCAGTTCCAGCAGAGAGCCCCAAACTTTCCTTTCCCTGGCCACATCAACCAGCTCTGACTGGGGGATCCCAAGGCGCTCCCAGGCCAGTGAAGAGATATAATCCCTCCACCTGGTCCTAGGTCTACCCCTTGGTCTCTTCCCAGCTGGACGTGCCTGGAACACCTCCCTAGGGAGGCGCCCAGGTGGCATCCTAACTAGGTGCCCGAACCACCTCAACTGGCTCCTTTCGACGCAAAGGAGGAGCGGTTCAACTCCGAGTCCCTCCCGGATGACCGAACTTCTCACCTTATCCCTAAGGGAGACACCAGCCACCCTGCGGAGAAAACCCATCTCGGCCGCTTGTATCCGCGATCTCGTTCTTTCGGTCATGACCCATCCTTCATGACCATAGGTGGGGGTAGGAATGAAAATGGCCCGGTAGACAGAGAGCTTTGCCTTCTGGTCAGCTCCCTTTTCATCACAACGGTGCGGTAAAGCGACTGCAGTACCGCTCCCGCTGCTCCGATTCTCCGGCCCATCTCACGCTCCATTGTTCCCTCACTCGAGAACAAGACCCCGAGATACTTGAACTCCTTCACTTGGGGTAAGGACTCATTCCCTACTTGGAGTGGACAGTCCATCGGTTCCTGCTGAGAACCATGGCCTCAGATTTGGAGGTGCTGATCCTCATCCCAGCCGCTTCACACTCGGTTGCGAACCGATCCAGTGAGTGCTGAAGGTCGCAGACCGATGAAGCCATTAGAACCACATCATCTGCAAAAAGCAGTGGTGCAATCCTTAGTCCACCGAACTGCATACCCCCTCCCCCACGACTACGCCTCGAAATCCGATCCATGTATATTACAAACAGGATTGGTGACAAAGCGCAGCCCTGGCGGAGGCCAACCCTCACCGGAAATGGGTCCGACTTACTGCCGAGGACCCGGACACAGCTCTCGCTTTGGGAGTACAGAGATTGGATGGCCCTGAGTAGAGACCCCCTCACCCCATATTCCCGCAGCACCTCCCACAGTAACTCCCTGGGAACTCGGTCATACGCCTTCTCCAAGTCTACAAAACACATGTAGACCGGATAAGCGTACTCCCTGGCCCCCTCCAGGATCCTTGCGAGAGTAAAAAGCTGATCCGTCGTTCCACGACCAGGACGGAATCCGCATTGTTCCTCCTCAATCGTTCGACAATCGGCCTGACCCTCCTTTCGAGTACCTGAGAGTAAACTTTCCCGGGGAGGCTGAGTAGTGTGATGCCTCTGTAATTGGCACACACCCTCTGATCCCCCTTTTTGAAAAGGGGAACCACCACCCCGGTCTGCCACTCCTTCGGTACTGTTTC